CTTCTCGCTGACCCATATCTCCAGTCCTAACCTGGGCTCTTCTGTGTCTTTCGGCATGAGCTTGTGCTTTCTTACTGTCGTTTTGCAATAATGTTGGAATTGGTTTTGCACCGTGAATCTGCATAGGATACGCACTACGCATCTCGAATCATTGGAAACAGAGGCTTTAAACTCAATTACTGCACATGATATTAAACAAACCCAGAGTGTTCTGTGAGATAATCTCCCATTAATACATTTTATCCAGCATAAATCCAAATGAAAGCCGTTTTTGATGTTTACCGAATGCTCATCTGTGGATGTCGCAGATTTAACCACATGTAAATCCTTTTGATGTTCAAGACATGAATTATTTATCACAGGAGAAAAATTCAAGGGTACGGATTACCATTTTATTCTCTCTCTCTCTCTCTCTCTCTCTCTCTCTAAAAATCAAGAAACATACACTGTAAAACCGGATAAGTTCATCAAAATCCAAAAATTTGAGGAAACTAATTACCTCCAAATTTTGAATTTTAAGCCAAATACACTTAAATATAACCAAGAATGCACTCAGACTTTGTCATTTAAAATACATTTTTGTTATATTTAAGTGTATTTGGCTTAAAGAAATTGATTTATAAACGTCAATTTCTTTTTTAGGTAATTCCTCAATTTTTGTTGAATTAATTGAACTCATCTGGTTTTACAATGTAGGTAGAAAATAAGTTGAAACAATCTCAAAAATCTCACACTGAAGACTCGCCAACACAATTCCTTTACATTTATGGCATCTGGCAGACACTCTTATCCAGAGCGAAGTACGATTATCTCATTTATACATCTACACATCAGAGTAGGGTTAAGTATCAGTGCTGGGGTTTGAACTCACAACCTTCTGAGCAGTAGACCAACATCACAACCACTGAGCCACCACTGCCCGTGGGTTTTCGCCAGAGAAAAGGTAAGACAGGTTATGAAAATAAATTCTAACTCTTTGTTTATGAACATGAAATACAAAGATACGTCTGTATTCAAATAAAAGGTCTGTTTTTAGCTGTGCAATGTCATTTTGTTCATGTCACACAGTATCAGAAACCACATGAACATGTGTGTTTGAAATACTAAACAACTCCATACAGTTTGAGGCAAAATGCTATAAACATCCCTTATCTGTTATAACTATGACATATACTGTCATAACACCCCAAAACCCCTTTACCACATATTTTTTTTTGGAAAATTACATTTTTTTTGGGGGGGGATTATTATAATTTTTTATTAGTGTTATTATTATTATTATTATTATTATTATTATTATTATATTTTCTTCTCAATGAAATATTTGGGAAAGGGAAGGGAGGGGAGAAAATGTAAATGAATTACATGAATATGAATCATATGAAATGAATTACATGTAAATAAATACATGCATGAATATGAATCACATGAAAATGTAAATGAATCAACATGAATATGAATTACATGAAAATGAATCATATGTAAATGAATCACATGAAATAAATGATTGAATCACATGAAAATGAATCATATGTAAATGAATCACATGTAAATGAATCATATGAAAATGAATAAATAAACAAAGGCAAAAAAAACCAAAACACATTTCTTGCCAATCTGTTCCTTTAATAAATGGGGTTAGTGTGTATATTAGAGCTTGGAAATGAGCTGAACTCCACTTTGACGACCCTATAGAGCTGACGCTGATTTAGGGGTATGCGGTATGACAAAAAATATATCACGATTCTCCAGAATTTTTCTATGATCCTGAAATACAGGTTTTCTAACAAACTGGATTCAATACCGTAGGGTCACAATAACACCTGTCTGATTTGATTTAATGTCTAAAAAAGTAATGTATTGATAAGTTTTCATTATAAAATGAAAAAAAATAATATATAATATCAATATCAGCTGCTTCCAGTCTGTTTGTAATGATAAAAAAAAAACATTATCCATGAAAAGCGTATTGTGGCATAATTTATTGTGATATTAATATGATATCATATCGCCCAGTTCTACACTCATTACTTCTGCATTTTTTCCAATATTTAATTAAGATTGTTAAAGCAGTATTTGGTAACTATTGGCAGATAAATATTGTCAGTAATGCTTTACAGTAAATTCCTATAACTACATAGTTTACAGCGCCCTCCACTAATATTGGTGCCCGTGGTAAATATGAGCAAAGAGTGACAAATCTATATTGTTGAACCTTTTGAGCTTTTTTTGAAGACGGTTCGAGTGGCCAAAAAAATCTCCAAGGATCACAGCTGGAGAATTGTAGAAGTTAGTTGCGTCTTGGGGTCAGAAAGTCTCCAAAACTGCATTCCGAAGTCACCTACATCACCACAAGTTATTTGTAATGGTTTCAAGAGAAAAGCCTCTACTCTCATCCAAAATCTAACTTGAATGTCTTCAGTGTGCCAGACACTACTGGAACTTCAGATGGGATCGGGTTCTATGGTCAGATGAAACCAAAATAGAGCTTTTTGGCAATAAACACCAGAGGTGGTTTTGGTGCACACAGAGAGGTAGCTATATGGAAAAGTACCTCATGCCCACGGTTAAATATGGAGGTGGATCTTTAATGTTTTGGGGCTGTTTTTCTGCCAGAGGACCTGGACGTTTTGTGAGGATACATGGCATCATGGACTCCATCGAATATCAACAGATATTAAATGAAAACCTGACTGCCTCTGCCAGAAAGTTTAAAATGGGCCGTGGTTGGATCTTCCAGCAGGACAATGATACAAAACATTCATCAAAATCAACACAAAAATGGTTTAATGACCAAAACATCAAGGTCCTGCCATGGCCATCCCAGTCCCCTGACCTGAACCCCATAGAAAACCTGAGGTGTGAACTGAAGAGGAGAGTCCACCAGTGCGGACCTCGAGATTTGATGGATCTGGAGCCCTGTGTTTTGTCTGCAATTGTTTGATATCCATGAGAGAAGAGTATTTTTGTGATTTTTTTTTAAACAAAAGATCAAAAGGTTAAACAATAAAGACAATTTTTTCACAGGCTTCTTTGCTCATATTTACCAAGGGTGCCAATATAAGTGGAAGGCACTGTACTACAGTAGTTAATTTGAACAAACAACAAACCTGAGTAAATTACTCAACTGATCTAAATTCAAATGTTAGTCAAAACAAATATATGTGTACTATCTATGGCTTATTCTATCCAGGACTAAAATAATAAAGCCATTATGTTACAAAATGTTGACAAGGAACTAAGCTCAGGCCTGTGGGTGTAAATATTGGCACCCATAACTCAGAATAATGCATTAATACTTTGTTAATACATGAATACATTAATACAATAATGTATAAGTTTGTGAGGTCTCCACCAAAATCATTAATAAATGTTGGCTTATCTGGTTCGAAAAACACCAGTTAATACAAGTGTAATGACTCGAACATAATGCTGACAATAATGTCGTGTTAACTCCTTAACACTCCAGCATATTATTCATGTATTTATCTAAAAGCATGCTACTTAGTGACTATTACGAATTTTATTTAACAAATTATTTAACAGGGTGAGAAATACAGTGTAGGTCTGGATTTACAGACGGCTCGTGGGACTTGAAGAGGACTTAATTGGATTAATAGAAAGTATTACCTGGTTGGTTTTATTCTCTTTGCAGCTCCAGTATGGACCACCAGAGCGCGCACTCTCCCCGCTACATGTTCAAATCTTCTGTAACTGAGAAAAGCCTGAATACTGAATGGACAGACTCAGGAAAATGAGGAGAATTATCGAACAAGAGTAACGATGCTGGACATGTGAACAGTCACACGTGTTTGGCCCAAGGGTCGATCAATAGCTCCCTCTTTGTCTCTCCCTCTCTTCCTGAAATGTGACAAAAGAGCACAAAATGATTACACCTTTAAGTGCTTTATTATCTGATTAGCACAGTTCTGTTCCCTTCATTCTCTTTTCCCTCTGATCGATGAGCAACTGGCTCATCTCTCTCTCTCTCTCTTCTCCGTATGAGCAACTGGTATCTCTCTCTCTCTCTCTCTCTCTCTCTCTCTCTCTCTCTCTCTCTCTCTCTCTCTCTCTCTCTCTCTCTCTCTTGTGTGTGTGTATATATGTACACTGTATAAACCCCTTTCACTGAAACAGAGTGTGAACTCATACATCCACTATGGCTACACATTACAGCTATACTGCAGATGTTATTAATATTCATACAGAGTGTTCTTTATAACCATTATTTAACACCAATGCCTGGTATTAAGCATAATCCCATGTTTAAAACATCTCTGTCAGTTTTAGTCCTATCCTATTCTTTAAAGCGACTGCCATTCTTGTACAACAGAACCTTTTTATACCGGGTTATCAATAAACACGAGGTCATGCATAATGCAGTGGCCATCTGTTTGAGGAAGTGCTGTCAGGAAAACGATAATCTCTGGCCCCCTTTTCCACATGCCAACAATAGACTAAAGGTCTCAGTGCCTGTTGGGGAATGGAGTTTGGCATTTGGAAAGCTTTTGGCAGCTCCGAGTCACATTTTATACAAATCAACAGATACATATTAAATATTTCTGCATATCCTTTGCTATTGAGCTAACTGACGCAGAAGCGCTTACATTTCTAACTGCCATTTGAGTGGGTGTTTCGTTTTGCTGACTTTTTGGGTCACTGAAAACCAGGTTCCTCATATAATTGTCATTACTGTGTATTATTATTAGTTTAGATGTAAATTTATACATACCACATTTTTTTTTTCACCTTCGTTTGAAGTAAGCCAGTCACTCAGCTGTTTGGACTACCTAAGTACCAGAAAATTCAGGAGTCTTGAGGTATACCCAATGTATCTCGAGGAATGGTGGGTTAGGTCATGTCGTACTAGACGCTTTAAGGAAATGAGGGACAGAGCGGGTTTAATTAGTATCTTTAGGTGGGTGTGGATTGCTCCGGATTTGGATCTGTAGGCAAGCAGCCGTGTGGTAATGTGATATTCATTCTGTATCAACTACAGTGCCTGGCTAGCTCAGCTGGTAGAGCATGAGACTTTTAAGCTCAGGGTTTGAGCCCCACGCTGGGTACTAAACCTACCCCCTGGCGGGGTTGCACACTGGGGTTGCACAAGCTTGTGCACTCTCAGTGCTGGCCCCAAGTCCGGATAAAATAGAGGGTTGCGTCAGGAAGGGCATCCGACATGAAACGTGTGCCAAATCAAATACGCGGATCATAAACCGTATATCCATAATGAAGACAGATGATCCACTGTGGCGACCTCTAATGGGAGCAGTCGCAACTGCAGCAGTCGATCAACTGCAGCGGTGTAATGTTGCAATAGTCCAGTCTTGAGAGGACAATGGACTGAACATGGAGGGGAAAAGACTGGGTTGTCCTGATGTTGTAAAAAAGAAACCTCTGTGAAGAAGTCAGCATAATCAGAAAATCTCAAGATTTGGTGTGTAGTTGAACAGTGTGATCATAGATGACAAGATCTTCATATGGGGATGCAGACCCATACGTTCACGTTGAAATTTAGTTTCTGGTGATGTAGTGCCCCTGAGATCCGAGCAGAAAAATGAATGTCTGAGAGAGGAAAGGCGAAACTGAGTACTGCGTCATTGGCATAGCAGCAGTATGAAAACCCACGTGAAGATATTACCTTATTCGTAGAAAGTGTAGAGACTGAAAACAGAAGAGAATCAAGCACTAAACCTTGTGGGACTCTAGCGGAAATTCTGCACAGAGTTCGTACAGATCCCCACCATGTCACCTGGCATGACCATCCCTCCAGGTACAAAGCAATCCACCACCACTACCCACTAATTCCAAGGCTCATGAGGATAAATAGGAACGTGCTGCTAAAGAAGGATTAGAACTGATCTATCGTAATTTGGCTGATCTAGCAGCATGAGGCATCTTTGCCACCAGCGCAGTTTATGTAGTGTGTGCTGCTTTGAAGCCAGGCTGGTTAGGGTCCCGGCGGTCATTCTGGGTACAAAAGAAACAATTCCCATAATCAACCACATACCTTATCAATCACATCCCGTCCTTTAAATAACCCGTGCGTTCCAACAACACATGCAAAGTCTGGCTCCTGTATTTGGCAGTGATGTTCCAAATCTTTTTCTAGATTTCCCAGTTTGACTTTGTTTGGACTATTTACTGATTATTGTCTCTGCCTAGTTTTCATTCTGTGTTTGTGCAGGGCACAGGGTCTCCAATTACTAATTACCTTAAAAATCTTAAAAAAAACAACAACAAAAAAACCATGCAGGTGGATTGGCTATGCTAAATTGCCCATACAATGTGCCTTGTATTCCTGCCTTATATCTAGTTTTCCATCGATAGGTTCCAGTTCCACCGTAACCTTGAACAGGCTAAAGAGCTTGCTAAAGAAGAATGAATGAACACTGTAGAAGGAAGATGATTGGTTCCTTTAACAGCTGTGGGCTTGGGTTGGTTTCTTCCTCATATTTAATAAAAGCCAAAAGTCTAATCATCTCTACGTTTTTGGATGTGCGCGTTTATGTGTATATGTATATTACTGTGTTTGTGCACGAACTTTCAATTGGCTAGTGGGGAAAATGCTGTAATAATAACGCAGTGTTGTAATCACAGGTCCCCCGAAACCCCATTACCCAACTCCGAGGTGCCATAACTCACCTAAATCGTGAAGGTCACTTGGAAGTGTTGTGGAAATAACAACAACAACAACAAAACTCTGCTTTTCTTCTTGCCTTGTTGTGATGCGTATGATTTATAGCACAGATGGGCGCCAGCATACGAGACGCCACTTCATATGTTTAGTACGAAGCAGGCGGTCGGCTGTAAAACATGCAATATTCCTTAATTTGATTTCATTTCATGGCTCTCTCTCTGCCTGCCTTCAGTGTGCTGTAAACTATAATAAGGAAGCATATACTCACTGTGCATGATAAAAAGACTGGAAGTCAAAGGAGAAGAGGAATAATAATGACCCCGTGTGTGTGAGCGACTCTGTAACTGAACGTTGTGTCACTCTGGAAATGTCAGGTCGGCATCAGCTGCTCACGTATTCATCATCTTCACTGACATGTTGCCCGTCAGTTTATCACAGTTCCTCTTTGTTTTACTGTTTAAAGTAAAGGATTTTTTTTTATCATGGATGGCCGTTTTTTTTCTTCTTCCAATTTAACAAATGCTTGAATACACCCAGATGCCAGCTATGAAAGAATGATTAGATGTAGAAGGATGGATCCTTTGGGTTTTAGTTGCTACGGTTTACATCATCTCCATTGTGTCTTCACTGTGAGCCGAGAAGGAAACCAAAAAAAAAAAAAAAAAAAAGGAAAACAAAAATCTTAACAGTTCAGTGGATAGCACTGCTCCCTCATGGATCCAGGGTCCATGGTTCAATCCTGAGCTTGGGGTACAGTCTGTATGGAGTTTCTGTGTAAATGAAAGGTAAACTGACCCTAGTGGTGCCCTGCGATGACTAGGCTTAGTTGTTAACATGTTTCCCTCACACCACCAAGGTTGGGGTTCGAATCCCACGTCCACCCCGTGTACACCCTGTGTGAGTGCAGGTTCTCCGCGTGCTTTGGGGATTTCTTGCAGGTACTCCGGGTTCCTCCCCCAAGTCCAAAAACATAGTAGGATGACTGGCATTTCCAAATTGTCCGTAGTCTGTGATCGCCCCACTGTGTAGGATAAGTTTTACAGAAAACGGATGGAATGGATGGACATTCATGATTCAGTAGCATGATCATGTCCACGCTTTCAGGAAAAGAAATCTGCTGTAAACTTGTTCATTTAGAGTTGTCCAGAGGTAAGAGTTTTAGCTTTTCATTACAAAAGCTACCCCGAGAAATTATAAAAGCACAAATAGGGATATTCTTTTCAACGGAGTTTGGATCATTTGTTTCCCCCCACACACGAGCTATTGTGTAAAAGATTTCTAATGCACTTCGTATTCTAAAAGTGGGACGAAATCAGTTGTGTTAAGTCTCCAGAGTCTACAGAGTAATCAACAAGTGTACATTGTACTCAAGAGAATTCACCTACTGCATAGCCATGTTTCCTATAATAACACAAGCTATAATCCAGAGGAACAAAGAAAATCCTCACAGAATCCCATTAACATTTAAAGAGCATGTTTCCATCTGTGGAATGAGATGATACAGAAGTGTTAGTTCATTATATTTTATTCTAAGCATTTTTTCCCCCTGTTGATGGTAACAATGCCTTTCTAGTTATTTATTTATTTATTTATTTATTTATTTTGCATAATCGCATAGACAGTGAATCTGGAATCTCATGTCCCTAAACAAAGCGATGGTTCTGCTTTCCAGGGAATTTATACTGTATGTCGGATAGTCCTGGACGTCATATCCATGCCAGGAAATTACCCACAAGGCTTTTCACTACTTTAATCCGACTACTAACTAAGAAATCCGTATTAGAAATAAGAATATTCCTAGGAACGATTTCCACCTTTAGATCGACCTGCTGTTTTTCTCTTCGCCTCACTTCCGTTCATGGCAGTGCATTTTTCATTTCAATAAGACAGCTTTCTCCACGCCAAATAATAAGAAGCTAGTGATTCCTAGCCAAGCTCATGGCATGATGGTAATATCTCAGTTAAAATCTACACAAGAAATTCATTCATTTCCAAATAAATGGAGAATGGATCAAGGGAAAGGATACTTTCAGGACGTACGATGATATTAAGAGGTCTGTGTGTTGCTTCAATGAATTAAAAAAGTGTGTGTGTGTGTGTGTGTGTGCGTTGACTCTATGAATGGATGATCTTTTGTCAAGGACCATGAGGCTTATCGGTTTTATATGCTAGTGCACGATGCCAAGTGTAATAGTTCAGGTATTACGAGTAAATAGTGATCCCTTTTGCATTAAAAAAAATCCAGAAATAGCGCTGCTTTTCATCAAGTTGTCGGGTTAGCAAAGCTTGATGAGCGTTATATGCTTAAGGTGCATATATTCCCAGTGATGCAAAACTATATTAGTAGTGAGAAAAACACCAAGGCTCCGCAGCAGCTGTTCTCAGTTGAGTTTCACCCTGCGCTAAATCTCTTTATCCGGCCTCACTATGCTCACTCAGAGGTAATCAGCCATCTTGTTCAGCTTTTCAGGAGCATTAAAGTGGATGCTGTGCCAGGTGCTATGAAACACTAAAGGCCCCAATCCACCGTCATTCCCCCTGCTCGGCGAAATCAGTGAATATTTATCCCTTTCCGAGTGCTTTCATTTAAAAGTGGAGGATGACGCACGCGAAAAAAAGCGAATGTGAGGAATCGTTTGTGCTCCAGTCAGTGAATAGGAGCTGATCAAAGGCAATGAATAAGATGCAGGAGCTGATATGCAACACTTTATGGAATAATTGAGGCCATTTACTCGAGGCTTATGATAAGCGGTTTACATGCATATGGCATTTCCCCCCCCCATGTTGTATTTTAAGATAGTTTGCCTTAGATATGTCGTATGTCATTTCCAAAGCACGATTGGGATTTTGAATCATTTCATGAATCTTTTTAGAAAGCCATCTCAACTCTTATAGCATTCAGTGAATCATTGATGAATCACTGAATCGACTCCTCAGTGAAAGAACTACCTGTAATAAAGCCTGGGGTGTTTTCGTCATGACACCCGAGGGTAACTGTAGGACCTGAGCGTCTATGAGGAATAGGCTGGATGTTTTTATGGCCGAATACTCTCGCAACTCAAGTGATATTTGGATACCTTGGTGCTGTCGGTGAACGATGCTTGTTCGAATGCAGAATTTGAGTATGTGACCTCCGAGGCTATACTGTGGAAATTCACACACAAAGATAAACAATAATTGAATGATTCATCTGTTAAATGCTGACCTGCTGAATAACTTTTGCGAATTGTATTTATTTTTTTCTCCACGTGCATACACTTTACTAAGTGTATCACGTTTTCAGTAATATAATCAGTGCTGGAGGATTTGTGTAAAAATGTATTTGAAACGTTTTCGATGTTTCTTGAAAAATGCCACCAGTGACGTTTAAAAAAAAAAAATTCATTAAATCATATCATTTAAAAAGAAATCAATTTATAGTCATAT